AAAAGTAAATATGTGGAAAATTATATACACATCTACTTATGTTTTATTCATATACATATTATAATGCATTATTGTAATACGACATTGTAAAGCACAACAACTTGCTCTGCATGTATTTTACTTTACATGATTTTATATCACAATTAATTACTGCATTTGTATACAAATGTATCTTTTTCATCCCTCTCGGGGAGGGGGGGGCTTGATTGGAAATAAACCATTATTTATGTATACACTTAAAAATAAATACAGTACTTCCCTTTGTGAATTCCGCTATATAACCTTTGGATGTGCTGCAATAGATTTACTGTATTCTAATTAATTTTCAATCTGTATTTATTTACTTACTGCTTTAAAGGTACAGGGTAGCACTATCCTTGTACAATAACCTTTTTTTGTCACTAAATGTTTTCAAGTATTAAACTGATAAATATATATAACAAATCTATGTTACAGAAGCCACTGTGAGAATAATATGGATATTCCCCTAAATACTGTGGCCAAGGGACATAAGTATCTAAATATCCAGATACGTTTTTTGACCTTGAAGAAGGGTATCGAATAAATTTGAAGTTTAATAATCATCATTTTCACGATGGCTCTCTTTTTAAGATTATTCAACTAAATAACATTTTCTTTATTCAAAATCTGTTGATGAAATTGGTTATTGCCATTGTTATCCCTTGTAACATGTGCCAGTACAATGGAAGAATGGGGCGGCAAATCAATCTGTTTCCATCCAATCAAATATTCGCCATCGAGCAATATAAATGTCAATAAAATAATTAATGCTACTTATTTTGCCTGAAAATTAACTTTAAAAAACATAAATTGTGATAGACTATTTCAAAATACAAAAATTAAATCAGATACTTTCATCACCCACCTTTCACTTTCATTGATGCATAGAAAAGGGGAGATAACCCGGAAACATAGTGACCAAGTACCGACACTGTATGGGTGGATAACAAAATTCCGACTTTACTCAATATCAGTTTCTCGCAAAATAAGAGGCGAATGATGACATTAATAACAGAGTAGATCTTTGATAATGACGCATATTGTAAGACGAGCTCAAATATGCGGTAATATATAGAAAACACAAAGAAATTCATTTTTTAATAGGGATACCCACTTCCACCCCAACCCGGAATAGAACTCTCGACCCACGGAATCTGTCTCCTAGCAATACAGGAATTGCGCGCTAGACCATTCGGCCATCTAGGCAAGTCTAAAAACATGCTTTCGATGCCGATGGAATTCTCGCGGCGCTGTCCTACAAAGGTCATTGAGAATGGAAGTGAGATACAGTTATTTGTACATTAGTTTTTTATAAGAGGACCATTACGATACACATTGTAATGAATTAATTTTATATATAAAGCACATTTTACAACAACTCTTAATTTGATTATCTGTAATAAAGAATAATGGACGCATCAGATTGTTTTTCATCTGTTAGGGGGGGGGGGGGGGGTAGAGCATTTGCACCGATTTTAAGGAGATTGAGGTCTTGAAATCTAAAATTCTTTCCAAATAAAAAGACTTGACATTATGAACCAAGAATAATGCTATTCAAATTTTTAGCAAGAGCAATAAGAAATAGAACTTTATCTGGATGGAAAATAATATTCTTAGTATTCCCGGGGTTACTAGTATATATAAAGTAAATAGAAAAGCTAGCTCACTAGCGAGGCAGTATAAGTTCTCTATATACTGTCCTGTACAATAGATGGTGTACTGTAGATGTGCAATAAGGTTTAAGAGTTTTCATTTTCATCCTTGCAGCTACAGTGTATATGGGAGTTGAAAAACAATTTTTTTCTACAAAAACCTGGTTCCCAAAACTCCTTTCAGACTGACATTTTACGCACTAGCAAAATTATCGTTTGTAAGTTGATTGGTGGTGTCCTAGATTTGCTGTAAGGTTTCAGAATTTTTATTTTCAAACTTGGGTTAAATAGAGGATAATTAAAAAAAAAACAACGTTAATTATAGAAACCTGGTTCCTAGAACTCCTCATACATTTTACTGCCTGTAGTCAAATCATCTTTTGGAAGGTAATCAGTGGTGTCCTGTAGATGTGCAATATTTTTTTTTTCACCCTCGGGGTCGAATGGGGGTCGAAAAACAATGTTTTTTTTTATTTTGCAAAAACATGGATCCCAGACCTCCTCATAAATTTTACACAGCAGCCATCCCATCTTTTGCAGGCTGATTGGGGGTGTCCTGTAGTACAATAAGGTTTCCAATTTCATTTTCACCTGGGGGTCGAAAAATTACATTTCTTTTATTTTTCAAAAACATGGTACCCAGAACTCCTCATACATTTTACACAGTAGCCATTTTATTTTTTGCAAGATGATTGGAGGTGTTCTGCAAACGAGCATTAAGACGTCTGAATTTTCATTTTCACTTTGGGGACCAACTTTGGGTTGAAAATGATGTTTTCAAACTACAATTTGGCCCAATTTTTCTTCTTTTTTTTCTTTACATAAAAACATTATTCCGAACCTCCTTTTAAATCAAAATTTACTTCATTACAATCTTTAATTTCAGACCAGTAATGACTTTTTTATTTGAAATATTAACATGGTCATGTGCTAACAATCAGGTGCATTTTATGTTCATTATGATACATGCATATGTTACAGTGAATATGTTAAATCAGGAATTTCATGTATTTCTTGAACCATTCATTAAATACATGTAATAACTGGCTGTTTTATACTGTAGTATTTTAAATTTGCTGTCAATAGACGCATAGCAGCATTTATGCACATATACAAAGTATTTTATAGAAACGACAACTGTTTCCAGAAAATAAAAACAGGGTATAAGTACTTTTTTATTTTTGTGCCATTTTCACCAGTTGTTATTTTAGCACACTTTGACTTTCACAAACTTAAAAATTGCAAGTAGGGGGAATTCTTGACACATCTATTTTTTGATGATTTTATTCGTAGGTTTAAAATAATATTCACAAATAATGTAGTTTTAGATAAATAAATATAAAGAGATAAAAATGTTTTTCCGACTCTTCCTGACACGTTTTATTAGATAACATTATGCATTTGATAACAGTAGAAAACTGAGGAGTTTAATAAGCAAATAAAACAATTTTTACATTTTCACCGAAAAAATGCAAAATAAAAAATCTTATAAAATAATCCAGAATATTGGTCGTTAAAAGCTGAAACCATATTTTAAAAAGGGATGTCTTAAGCATTCATTACATAAAAATTTGGTGTAGCATTCCCTTTTAATATTTCTTTTTGCAATCAAAGTTTGAAAGAAATATCATTTTGATACCAAGTAAAGAGCTTCTCAGTCAAAAGTCTCTTCTTATAATCAACCATTTTAAATGGATGGAAAGTGATTTAATTAAGGACTTTTGTATGTACAACAAGATATTGAACTCTGCTTACTGGGTTTAAGTTGCTAACTAAAGGTCAACATTGAATTTATTGTGCATCTGTTGTTTATATTTTATGATTCATACTTCAAATTATCTCACGAAAAACCAATCAGTAAATACATGTAAAAATCACAAAAAAAATCAGTAAATACATGTATTTGCTAACTGAAAACAGTAAATACATGTATTTCCTAAGCAGAAAGGGGATTTCATGTATTTCCTCAAATTCAGGAAATACATGAAATTCCTGATTACACATATTTACTTTAACATATACATATTTCATTTAAATTAACATTTGTGGCTTTTTCGCTACCCACGTACAAGGGAAGTAGCATACATTTGTACATTTAGAGGAAACATTACCATGAGGGTATTACTGTCTTATGACAGCATCTAACATGAACAATATTCATTAACATTCATATGTTGATTCGATATACTAGTAACCCACTGAACTCGAAATAAAGAACATCATTGAGTCTGACAGATCTGTTTCATATTTGGATGCTTTACCAAAGAGAGACATTGATGACAAACTAACAACTTAACTTTATGATAAAATTGATGACTTTATCTTTTCTATTGTCAATTTCCCTAACTTATGTAACAATATACCATTATCACCTGTATACTTTGTCTCCCAGTTGATTCAATACGCGAGTGAATATTTTACGTAGAAATATTTTTAAACCGTGGTAGGCTACTGACCAATTAGTTGATGATTCAAGGTTATTAATAACTTTTCGAAAATTCCAAGGTCGATACAATGACCTTGTTTGCATATGATATTTGTCATTAGGTCGAAAGTTGCCTTATGCTTTTTTAGAATAAATTGTTAGGCCATTAACATCTTATTGAATTGCCTAAGGATTACTCCCTGTATCCGATCAAGATAGGCACGTTATATCATGTCCCCTCATCCCATTTTTCAAAACTTAAATGTCTTGATCTCCAATTAATCAAGGGTCTCATCACAAACAGTTCCTGATTTAAATGCCACTACCAGTTATGAATTGTTTTGTGTAGTGGGTTGCTTGTCAGCTTCTATGAATTAACTGAAATTCAGGATTTCCTTTGGGTTCAAATCCTAAGATATGATAATCCTCAATTTTATTAAATAATTTTTGACAGGAGAATTTCACCGCAGGAAAGTTTTGCTTGTCATAGTTTCATACTCTTCAATAATTAGAATTTCACTCAGAATATTTAATTCACAAATAGAATTTGATTTTTACACATTTGAATCTATAGGCATTTGGCACGCCTTGTTCGCACATCATCTTTCTCTTAATGGCTAAGACATACTCAATTGTAATATTTTGGGTGATGAAGCCTCTTCTAGGATATCGTTATATTCCAGTAGGCAAATTACGCCCGTGTGAATAAAATCATTGTCAACACAATACATTAAAGTGCATTTTTATTCCCTGCAGAAATATATATACTTATATAATAAACATGTTAAGGTATTCGATCATGATGGGTCGAAATCACCCAGGGGGGTCGAAGTTACACCACCCTATCCTAATTCAAAAAGTTAGGTCCTAATTATTACACTATTGAGCATTATTACTGACAATTACCCAACAGGGAAAATAATGGGTAAAAAGGGCTTTGGGGTTACAGAACTATGTCCATGAATGTTGCTATGATGGGTGGTGTTTGTTTGCATTAAATTGAAGTATCTGGACCTAATTAAATGTGCAGACATCTTTGGCTGCCTCTGACGAGTGAATAACCCTTTCTTATTCCCAACCACACGAATTATCTCTGAAATTTAGAAAAATGGAATGATATCAAATACAATGATGTATATAGCCAAGTAATACCAATCAATATCAATGTTGTCATAAAACTAAGATATTTTATTTGATAAGACCATAAAAAAAAACACTAATGTTAATTTTAGCACTGAAATTAGTTTGATCATCACATCAAAACTACTTACGTTGAATAGTCATGAAATCAGCAAAATTCCAAGGCATTTCTCCTACCAGGAACTCTTGTCTCAGACTGTCAAAAACCTTATGATATTCCTGAAGAAACTCCACCTGAAATTCCTCTGTAAACACAAAGGATGGGTCCTAAAGATAATCAAAAAAAAAATAGATTGTGCATGTATTATAGTTTAATACTGATTTTTTTTACCTACACCAGTGTATGATATTCACGATATTAGTTATTTTTTGCTAACAGCGTTTGATCTAAAACAAAACTTCTGTTATGGAGTGATCAGAATTATGTTTTGACAGAACTAATATCATTGTCACCTTATGTTTTCTTTGAGGATAAACCGTTTCGACTAAAAAATAAAAAAAAAAATGACTTGTCAACTAACCTGATGATATCCTGAAATTGTACCAGCCTATATTCTGTGACAGTGATTGGCTTAATGTATTTATTATGAAAAGCTTTGATTTAAGCTTTAATTTAACACATATTCTGACCTGATGATATCCTGGAATTGTATCAGCTCCATATTCTGTGACAATGATTGGCTTATTGTATTTATTATGAAAAGCTTTGAGATCATTGGTCAGTTGTAGATTAATCAGCTCAGTGTGTGAACAGTCAGAATACCAGGCATAGTATCGGTTAATACACAAGATATCATTGTACTGGGCCTACAACAAATAGACACAAGGCATAGTAATGGTTTATACACAGAAAATATCATTGTACTGGGCCTACAACAAACAAACACAAGGCATAGTAATGCTTTTTATTACATTTTCAATATATAAAAAAAACATTTTCAATATAAAAAAAATTGTTTCTGCCCATGGTGTGGGGTACAAAAACAAAAATACAAATTTTCTATACTTGAGATGTATGATGAGAGTTTTTCTCCGGGATTTTTTTAACAGTATAAGCTCATTCTGTGACGTATTAACATTAAAGCTTACAACTTTTTCCTCATCATAGTCAGCATTGGCAACAAACGTAACAAGTCTGGTTGGATCTGATTTCTTCACATGCTGCAAAATTGTCCTGTTGAACGATGAAAAATACACATGTAGAAGTTTTATTGGATTTTCAATAAAACCCAGAAAACAAGACATCTAGTTAGTCTTACTTGAAATAGTACTCTGACGCTGGTAGCCCAGTCTTTGGTTCATTAGCAATTGACCAGATTATCACAGCTGGACGGTTCTTGTCCCTCTGAATCATTTCATCCATTACATTCAAATGGTGAACCAAGGATTCATTTCCAAAGTTATTTTGCCTTTTAATATAATCATAAGAAGAAAGGTACAAAATAAATCATTAAAATACTCTTAAGTAGATTTTATCAGGAAAGAAAGAAGCATGATGCCAGACATTGAAACTTGACATACTCTATCCCTACACCTGGACTTTCATCAATAACCACAATGCCCTGTTGGTCAGCTTGGTCCATAATCTCCTCAGCATAGGGGTAATGAGATGTTCTGAAACAGTTAGCACCCAGCCACTTCAGTAGATTAAAGTCCTTGGCAATCAAGGGATAATCTAGTCCTTTGCCTCTGATCTAAATTAACAATTAGGATATGACAGTTTATGATTCTTTTATGTTTGCAAAATATAAATGAAGCCTATGATCTTTTTCTGATCAATATTTAAATGATATGGCTAAATCATAATGGTAGAGGAAACTTCATGAATGACTACATGGTTCTGTTCAATACAAAATAAAATTTAGAGATGATTAGATGTTTGCTAAAGGGCAATAACTCTTACATCAGAATCCTCATGTTTGGCAACTCCATGGCAGTAGAATGGTTTATTGTTGATCAGAAGCTGTGTGTTGGTGTTAGACACAGTGCGGATACCAAATGGGAGACTGTACTGATCTATATCAGCAGATGTTGAGGTCAAGGTCACCTACAGAAGAATGCATGTGCCTTGCGCTGTGGAAACAAGCCTTATACTTGTCACATTCATTCTAACTTCTTTATGATGGATTCAGTCTAAACATATTTACGATAGTAAAATATGTAGCATAGCCACTTCAAAAAAAAAATCTTGTTCTCAAACACTGCACTACACTGCAAAAGTCACAGTGGTATACACTTGGGCAGTTACGAATAATCAATAGATTAGGATTTTAAGCTTAAGAATGAAGACGAAGGATTGTTTAAACCTTAAATGTATACAGATAGGCAGCGTCATTTGATGAGTTCACCATGGTATAAGGCCACCAGAATTTGGCATTGTGTACAGTTATTTGTCCGACTGGTTGGCTACTCTGCCCAACAGAGTTACCTTCCTTGTCTAGGATGGTTACTTGGATTGACTGGACCATGGAAGCAATGTTTGGCGACACTGTGTAACTAACAACACCTAAACGTGAATATTAAACTAAACTGGAATCACGCAAATTATCTTTGGTCAAAGTTCATAATAACATGAAAATTCTTACGAAAATGTATAATTCATGTTTTCAGGAAAAGTTTTTGTTTGATTTTAAGTGACAATGAATTCTTTGGGGTTTTTTTTATTTGAAAAGTTACATGAAAGCATGAGGTAAACGACAGTTAAACAATACTAAATTTACCATTGCTTCCATGTATATCAGTAACTATGGTGATGTCATCAACGTAAACTTTTGGTGTAGTATAGACTTTAACTGATCTGTGGATTCCAGCATAGTTGAAAAAATCCATCTGAAGATTTTGGACAAAATATCCTTTTGGATACCTAGAAATGTGCCAATTGAAATCAACGCTTATTTCATTTTCAATTGAATCAATTACAAAAAATGAAAACAGCCAGTAATTCATTTTCTATATCCTTTTGATTTATATTAACATTAAACGTTTTTGTTCATACTCTCTATAACTTTATGATACAATAACATCAAGGTTATATATGCAGCAAAGTAATCATCATGATTGACCCCCGAAGCTCTACAGTTTAATTTACTACCTTGAATATATATCTGCTTTGAAAGACTAGATCATAGAAAACTCATTTTGAAGTTTTCTCGGCATTAAAACTTTTACTGCATATTGTTACAATACATTGATTCATTTGCAATTCATTTGATGAATGTTGAAAAAATCCTATTGAACTTCATAATTGTAGATCATACAAAATGCTCTGCTTTTCACAGCTGCTAATTTTCATATGACTTTTTTTTCAAATTCAAAAGTATTCATAAACCTCACTTACTTGATTGGATCATTTTTGTACTCAATGGTCCCTGGAGGTAGTGTTGTGGGGGTCAGTGTGTTATTTATAGCTACGGTCATTCTATTAGGGCCATTTGTATTATAATTTTTTAATTCTGTTTCAAATGGCAGGTGCCCTCCGGAATGCTGCATCACCTCCTGCCCATTCACCCACTGCAGTAAAAACAGAAATCATTAAAGCTTGCAACTTTTTCCTCATTATTATGAGGAATGTTATTATTTTTCATCTGTATACTATTTATTCACTAATAAAATTTAAAAAATTTAAATTGATTCAAGTCATTGAAAATTGATAGTTCCTTGAAACTTGTTTGAACTTACTACAATGGTGTTGTAATGTGCACTGTCAATCCGCAATACAATCCTCTTTGAGGTGAATTCTGGTGGGATGTAGAATTCGTTGTCATACCAAGCCCATCCCACAAAATCTCGTAGTTTCTTACTCTGGGTAATGTCATTGTAGCTGGCTGGGACTGGCATCGGTATAACAGGCCCACTCTGTAATAAACATATCAGGGTTTTTTAACTACATATATATTTATTTATATGTGGACATGAACTACCTGATAAAGTTACAACAAATGGTTATTATTAGAAATCGAAAATGAAAATAATGTAGCTTCATGGCATCTGATCCCACCTCTGATGTCTTAGAGGTCTGTGTTTGCTCTGCTCCTATTTTGTAATGTTTAATGGACTTTTGAGCTCGACTGAAAACTGTTAGTTATCTCCACATATTTCATGTAACTGTCACAGTATCATTTCTTCAATTCTTATCGACTCAAACACCTTTAAGTCACATACTTCCTGTTTATAGGTTTAAAATTCGGGGGAAATTGTCAAGAGACAGCAAATCAGATACATTGGTATCACTAGTAACTCAAAGTGGCCACGAATTAGATGCATACACACTCGGAGGGACAACGAATCTGATTTATGACACACTCATGGGGACCATGATTCAAATAACAAGGTTCACTTTGGGCTTTTTTAGGCCCTGTGAATTTCTGAAAAACTGAAACTGCTTAGTTTTAGTTGACAATGCATTAAATTTCATAAAGACGTTTGGCGATTGCAAATCTACCAAAAATGACGTAATTATCTGGCTATTCAATGCATTATGACGTCATGAATTTTCCTCATATCCTGAACAATTCTACAAAAACAGCCAATTTTCAAAGCCATTTTTTCGATATCTAATATAGAGCGCAGTCTCTGATCTAAAATATGCAATTATTTACTGATAGAACCGTTTCTGAGGATTACAAAACATGTTTTATTTTTAGATCAGAGGGTGCGCTCATATTATTTTCCTTCTCTGAAAGTACTTTCCTTGAAATTCAAGAACATTGCAATTTCATAAAGCTTGTTTTCCAAGAACTGGACTTTAAGGAGAATATTTTTAATAGGAAATGAAAGCAGTATGTCTCTACTTTATCTTGATGTTTAAAATGGAACATAAGGTGTTAGTCAATAAAACTGGTATATCTATAGGGCCATTTTATGCATAAAGTGAACCTAGCTCTTTACAACTCTTTTGGGAATAAAATATATGGAGATAACGAACAGTATTCAAGCTCAAAAGTCCATTAGACAATACAAATTTTGGAGCAGAGCAAACACGGACCTCCAAAAACAGAGGTGGGATCAAGTGCCATGGAGGTGTGAGCATCCCCTGTCGACCGGTCACACCCGCCGTGTGCTCCTGGTCATGATCGGGAAATAACGGAAAAATCTGTAAATAATGGCCTAATAATTAGTACGAAAAACGTCAGTCATCATTTGACTTAATGATAAATTTAATTTTCTGACAAGGTCATTGTATCGACCATAGAACTTACGAAATGACGACTTTAAACGAGACTGCTGATATTCTTGTTTCATCAACTTGTTTGTCAATAACTTACCTCGTTTTAGAAATCGTTCATAAATAGAGCATGCTCTTGCGTATCGAATCAACTGAGAGATATAAACCCCGTATGCAGGTGATGAAGGTATATTGCTGCATAAGTAAGGGAAGTTGACGATTGAAAAGTTAAATTGAATGCACACTTAAAAGGGCCCTAAATCAGATTCATAACACTCAGAGGAACCACGAATCATATAAATAACACACTAAGAAGGACAACGAATTTGATTTATTACACATTCAATGGAAGTGTCAAATTCACCACCTACATGTGTAGGGACCTTAAACGTGAATTCACGATTCAGTATACAGTGAGAGGGACCACGAATCCGATTCACGTCACACTTAGAAGGACGATGAATTAGATTCATAACATTTGGGAGTGTCATGAAACTGATTCCCTTTAAAATTGTCGTAAATCTGTTTTGTGGTCCCGCTAAGAATGAAGTTATTCCGACTCTTGGTCCCTTAGAGTGTGTCATGAGTCTGACTTGTGGTCTCTCTTCGCGTGTATGAATCTGACTCTTGGTCCTTTGAAAGTGCCATATATCTTAACTGTGGTCCTTTTGAGTGTGTAATGAATCTAATTCAAAGTTCCTCTAAGTATGTTATGAATGTAATTCAAAGTTCCTCCGAGTATGTTATGAATCTAATTCATGGTTCCTCTGAGTGTGTTATGAATCTAATTCATGGTTCCTCTGAGTGTGTTATGAATATAATTCATGGTTTCTTTGAGTGTGCTATGAATCTAATTCATGGTTCCTTTCAGTGTGCTATGAATCTAATTCGTGGTTCCTCAGAGTGTGCTATGAATCTAATTCATGGTTCCTTTCAGTGTGCTATGAATCTAATTCGTGGTTCCTCAGAGTGTGTTATGAATCTAATTCATGGTTCCTCTGAGTTTGTTATGAATCTTTATTCTGTAATGAAAAAATTTCTTTACGACCTTGGTCGGCCATTTGCAGTTATTTCTAATTTTATACTTATCATTTAAAACATCATGACAAGAATGAATGAGTATACATGTATTTTATAATAGATAATATTTTATTCCAATCTTTTTTTTAACCAGCAAAATAAGTCACACCCCTGGGACATTAATTTCACAATTTATATAAAAGGTACACTGCAATCTTGATAATTGATAAATAACTTTTCTTTTTAAAAAAGTAACTTTGGAGGTTGAAAATTTTTCGTCCTCAGCCCTACGACTTTACTCCGATTGAAGGAAACTCATCCATTTTGGTAATGTAGCAACTTCAGATTTCAAAGCTGAGATGGTTGGTCGATTTTGAGAACCTTACAATTTTCATTCATAAACGACTGAATACGACGCTCCACAACCGAATACAGATACAATGTACATGCAATTTTATATCGCTGAAAGCCATCTAACTACCTCTGATTATCTAAGTCAAACAACTACTAATCTTTACTACTATGTTTACATTTCAGTATATCTGCACCGCTGCATATGGAAGTAAATATTGCATAAAAGCAAGTTTTTATTTTTTTATTTAGTAATAAATTTATATATATATATATATATATATATATATATATATATATATATATATATATATATATATATATATATATATATATATATATATATATATATACACATGTATATGAATGAACATAAGATATGAACCTGCTTTAGAGGCCTAGAGAACCAGTTTTCATCGAATCCACGGACCCGGCTCTCAGATGTGTCTATTCTAAAATTCCACAAACCGTCTATATTTTGGATAAAAGTTCGTGACACTGAATACCTCGGATATAACATACCCGTCATTGCACAACATATTTGTAAACATATGAAAAACGCTTGTATCGTGGGGGTATCCATCTTTTTCACCCGAACAAATGTCGCGTGATAAATTCACGTGAGTGTATTGGATATATTGGAATATCTCCTCAGTTATTTGAGATAACTTATAATTACAACATTTGTTGTATGATTGCATATATCTGGATATAATATTCTAAAAATAATAGAAAATATGAGAAAAATACATCTGTAGAAATAATTAGCGAATAAGTAAACAATATTGCACAAAACTACATGTATCTGACATATAACATATTACAATAAATACATGTACTAAGAGAATTCATATTTAAATTAGTCATACATCTATATTTTATGTAATGAAGTATAATAATCAGACAATTGTTTTCCATTTTCCGCATTTTTAAAAAAAAAAAGTATAGGAATTTACTTGTAACGTAACATTCTATTTTTTATGATGTATTTCATGTATTATCAGAATTTCCTTTTGCTGTTACATTAGATTCAAACCTCAAATCCAGCGCTTTATAGGCTGAGTTTACTCGGCTTCTGACTGAAAACATTATACGAAGGTACTAAAGGCACATTTTTGCATATCAAGGAGTTGCGTCCTATGGCAAAAACAAGTAGGTACCGTCAGTGTTCGAAAAGTCCAAATTCAGCAACGTTGCCAAATTTGGCAATGATTGTTATGTAATTCAACAGCTGAAAACATCGCATTATTAATGACTTTTCCAGTTTTTCAAAAAGGACATTTTTTTCCTCAAACGTTTTCCCCTACCAAAAATGAAAGAATACCGTATTAAAAAAGTTTTGTATATCAACCAATGCCAAATGCATATAAAATACAGCTTTTTACCCACTGCCTGTTGTCAGTTGATTGGTGATATCCAATCAGAACATAACAGGCCCGTAGAACGCGGGATGGGGGGGGGGGGTGGCAGGGGGCCGCCCCCATCCCCCACTTTTTTCTGAGTATAGTATTTGTCTATATATTACAGTATTGTAAGGTCGAGCACTGGCAAATTCAAGGATTTGGACAGTCAATTACCTTCAGTTTTTTTTTTTTTTTTTTTTTTTTTTGCTTGTCAGATAGTTTTGGGAAGTTGCCCCCCCCCCACTTTTGGTCTCTTTAGGTTTTTTTAATGCCCCCGTATCGAAGATTCGGGGGTATATAGTTTTTGCCCTGTCCGTCTGTCTGTCTGTTTGTCCGCAAAAACTTTAACATTGCCCATAACTTTTGAATGGTTGTAGCTATGGCTTTCATATTTAACATGTGTATTCCTTGTGAAAAGACCTTTCTTCGGGTACCACTCTATTTGACCTTTTGACCTTGACCTTGGTGTTTGACCCAGTTTTGCAAAATTTTTCCCAACTTTGTCCTTGGCCATAACTTTTGAACGATTGGTGCTAGGGCTTTCATACTTCACATGTGTATTTCTTTTGACAAGACCTTTCTTTGGGTACCACCATATTTGACCTTTTGACCTTGACCTTGGAGTTTGACCCAGTTTTGCAAAAAATTTTCCCAACTTTAACCTTGGCCATAACTTTTGAACAATTGGTGCTAGGGCTTTCATACTTCACATGTGTAATTTTTGTGACAAGGCCTTTCTTTGGGTACCACCTTATTTGACCTTTTGACCTTGGAGTTTGACCTACTTTTGACAAACTTTAACATTGGACATAACTTCTGAAAGGTTAGAGCTAAGGCTTTCATACTTAGCATATGTAATCCTTGTGACAAGACCTTCCTTTTAATAGCAACAACTTTGACACTTTGACCTTGACCTTGGAGTTTTACCTTCTTTTGTAAAACGTTAACATTGGCCATAACTTTTGAATGGCTGGTGCTAGGGCTTTCACACTTCACATATGTAATCCTTGTGATAAGACCTTTCTTCGGATACCAACAACTTTGACCCTTTGACCTTGACCTTGGAGTTTGAACTACTTTTGGAAAATTTTAACCTTGGTCATAACTTTTGAACCGTTGTTGCTAGGACTTTCATACTTCACATATACTATCCTTGTGACAAGCCCTTCCTTTGGATACCAACAACTTTGACCCTTTGACCTTGGTTTTGACCTACTTTTCGAAAACTTTAACCTTGGACACAACTTTTGAAAAGTTGTTGATAGGGCTTTCATATTTAACATGTTTTTTCCTTGTGACAAGACCTTCCTTTGGATACCAACAATTGTAATCCATTGACCTTGACCTTGGAGTTTGACCTACCTTTGAAACACTTTAACCTTGCTCATAACTTTTGAACGATTGGTGCTTCAGCTTTCATATTTCACCTGTATATTTCTTGTGAGAAGGCCTTTCCTTAGGCACCATTAATTTTGGCCAATTGACCTTGACCTTGATTTACTTTTGAAAAACTTTAACCTTTTCCATATCTATTCAATGGTTGCTGCTAGGGCTTTCATATTTCACAAGTATATTCCTCGAGACAAGACCTCATTTTGGGTACCAACATATTTGATTTGCATTTGAGAAAGTTTAACCTTTGCTATAAGTTGCCATATGGGGGCATCAGTGTTTCACAAACACTTGTGTTTTTTTTTTTTTTGGTTTTTTTTTTTTTTGCTTGTCAGAATTTTTGGGGAAGTTGCCCCCCCCCCCCACTTTTGAAACCGTTGCTACGGGCCTGTATAGTAACGTGACACCACAACGTGATAGTACTTCCATGTTTGCTACCATCGCTCTCAATATCATTTGCAACAAGTGCTGGTCAACTTTAATCCTGTGTATAATTACAAAAAAAAAAATATAACAACTTGTCCCCCTTCAAATGAGACCTTTTTTTTTAAGAAAAAATGAGGCCATGTCATAACACTATACCTTCCTTAAACAGGAATCGCATAGTCGGTGTGACGTCATATCCTCGAAAATGTAACATCCGCCATGAGACTACCAGAATTGCTTTGGATGCTGGATTTGACCTTGATTAAGATTTGACGAATTTTATTCATCAGAAAGGCAAAGTCTCAAACCAAATAAATGTTTTGGTAATTTGCATCCTACGGAATAATTATCTGGCGGTAGCCACATAAATAACTGGCGGCCACCAGAAACTTTTCTGGTGGCCGCCAGATAACTTATTTGACAGCCGCTAGAAAGTTATCTGGCGGCCGCTAGAAAATTATTTGGCGGCCGCCAGAAAATTATCTGGCGGCCGCCAAATAATTATCTGGCGGCCAAGAGATAACTTTCCGGCGGTCGCCAAATAAGTTATCTGTCAGCCAAGAGATCTTTTTATCTGGCAGTAACTTGGGTACGTACCTGTTACAAAAACAACTCAATCATTTTGAATTCATTAAAAAATACAGACTACTGCTGCTTTCAACCATAGTATATCCTCCATGAGAGATGTCAAAAATATAAACAGTATTGAAAACTTTAAACTTTATTTTAAAAAAATCAGATAACATGGAATAAAAATATAAAAATTGGTATAAAAATGTTAGCTCTATATGCTAGGTCTCAGAAACATTCTTTGCCATAATTTATGAGCATAATAAAAAAACGCATGCAAACACATAAAGTATTATTTACAATTTGATTCCCTTTGTTTGCAAACACACAGATCAATTATCTTTGTCTCAAATTCTAATTTCTAAAAAATAATAGTAGCACCATTGACTAGGAATACTTTTGACACAAAGTACTGAGATTCCACTTCAACTTACTCAAAATATAATTTTACTGTCAGTTACTTTAAGTGTTCACTATGATCATTCAATGAAAACAATGCCTGAAGTACATGTAAATGTAAGTATATTGTGAATCACTGATTCAGTTTACCCAACAGGAACAGTAACGGATTGAAAGACATTTTGGATGTTGTTGCTATGTCCATGGAAGCCACCACGATGAGTGTTGTTTGTGTACATTAGATTTTTATATCTGGACCTAATTAAATGTGCAGACATCTTTGGTTGCCTCTGGCGAGTAAATAATCCTTTCTTATTCCCCACCACACGAGTTATCTCTGAAATGTAGAAAACCAGTTACTAAGTGTGATTATGAACTTAAAATAATATCAATTAAGGTACATCACTCCTGACACTGAATATACTCGTATCAAGGATTTTTTGAGAAGAAATGTAGAAAAGCTGTTACAAAGTATGATTATGAAGGCAAGCTTAAAATAGTATCAATTAAGGTATGTCACTCCTAACACTATATTTTAGATATCTACACATATAACCTAACTCAAAATAAAAAAAATTGGGAGTCTGATCAACAGTTCAATAAACTTCACCTTTCTGCAGTTTTCAAAATTGTATCTTAATATATTAATCACTTTAACCTGAGCTAAATTTTATCGAATGTAATCATGGCAATTAATAAAATCTTGTTAATACAAAATGTTTAAATAAAATACGAGAATTTTTTCTTGATACATGTATTTCCTTTTAAATATCCTTCCACCACAAGAAAAAGCCCTCCATAATTTGTGTGTGTGTGTGTGTGATTTTTTTTTCAAATTGGACAATTTTCTTTGATTAGTTAACATCTGAAAAGAAAAAATTCATTGTAATTTGATAATTTTGATATTTGGAGGTCCTAACCAAACTGATTTCAAAAATCTGACGAATACCTGGAAAATAGTCTTGTATTATTTGTATGGCCAGATTCTGATTGAGGCATACATATTACACTCAACATGAAGATAACTTTTGAGACTCGTGGCACACTACTTACGTTGAATAGTCATGAAATCAGCAAAATTCCAAACCATTTCCCCTATCAGGAACTCTTGTCTCAGACTGTCAAAAACCTTATGATATTCCTGAAGAAACTCCACCTGAAATTCCTCTGTAAACACAAAGGATGGGTCCTAACAAGATGAAAATAAATTAACTTAGTCCATTCAATTAATTCTTTTTTTTAAAAATGCACTAAATGTAAAATTTACAACAGAAGAAAATTTTCGTATGTTGTTGTTTTAATTTTCTTTCACAGTTTTAATACTGGAAGGGTTCATGATATTTTGATTATTTCAGCATAAAATTTTATTAGCAGTATTTATCACAAGGATTTCTCTGAGGAAATTTGCACCTTACTGAAAATATCATTACTTTACTTTATTCTTTAATTTAGCTGGTATTCTAACCTGGTGATATCCTGGAATTGTATCAGCTCCATATTCTGTGACAATGATTGGCTTATTGTATTTATTATGAAAAGCTTTGAGATCATTGGTCAGTTGTAGATTAATCAGCTCAGTGTGTGAACAGTCAGAATACCAAGCATAGTAACGGTTAATACACAAGATATCATTGTACTGGGCCTACAACAAACACAAGGCATAGTAACTGTTTATACACAGAAAATATCATTGTACTGGGCCTACAACAAATAAACACAAGGCACAGTAATGGTTAATAAACAAGATATCATTGTACTGGGCCTACAACAAACACAAGGCACAGTAATGGTTTATACACAGTATATACTAGGCCTACAACAAACAAACACAAGGCACAGTAACGGTTTATACACAAGATATCATTGTACTGGGCCTACAACATACAAATACAAGGCATAGTAATGATTTAAATACAGAATGTCATTGAACTTGGTCTACAACAAACAAATACAAGATATAGTAATGTTTTAATCACAGTTATCATTGTACTGGGCCTACAACAAACAAACACAAGGTATAGTAATGGGTAGAACACAGGATATCATTGTACTGGGCCTACAACAAACAAACACAAGGCACAGTAACGGTTTATACACAGTATATACTAGGCCTACAACAAACAAACACAAGGCACAGTAACGGTTTATACACAGTATATACTAGGCTTACAACAAACAAACACAAGGCACAGTAACGGTTTATACACAGCATATACTAGGCCTACCACAAACAAACACAAGGCACAGTAACGGTTTATACACAGTATATACTAGGCCTACAACAAAAAAACACAAGGCACAGTAACGGTTAATACACAAGATATCATTGTACTGAGCCTACAACAAATACACACGAGGCATAGTAATGGTTTATACACAGTATATTATTGTACCGGGCCTACAACAAATAGACAGAAGGCATAGTAATGGTTTATACACAGTATATAATTGTACCGGGCCTACAACAAATAGATACAAGGCATAGTAATGGCTTAAACACAGAATATCATTCACCTTGGCCTACATTAAACAAATACAAGGCACAGTAACGGTTTATACTCAGGGTATCATTGTACTAGGCCTACAACAAACACAAGGCACAGTAATGGTTAATATACAGGGTATACTGGGTCTACAACAAACAAACACAAGGCACGGTAACGGCTTATATGAAGGGTATAATTTGGGTAATACTGGGCCTACAACAAACATAAGGCACAGTAATGGTTTATAACAGTATATACTAGGCCTACAACAAACAAACAAAAGGCACGGTAATGTTTTAAACACAGAATATCATTGTATTGGGCCTACAACAAACACAAGGCACAGTAATGGTTAATACACAGAATATATTGGGCTAACAACAAACAGACACAAGGCACAGTAATGGTTAAAACACAGAATATACTGGGCCTTCAACAAACAAACACAAGGCACAGTAATGGTTAATACACAGAATATACTGGGCCTTCAACAAACAAACAAAAGGCACAGTAATGGTTAATACACAGAATATACTGGGCCTTCAACAAACAAACACAAGGTACAGTAATGGTTAATACACAGAATATATTGGGCTAACAACAAACAGACACAAGGCACAGTAATGGTTAAAACACAGAATATACTGGGCCTTCAACAAACAAACACAAGGCACAGTAATGGTTAAAACACAGAATATACTGGGCCTTCAACAAACAAACACAAGGCACAGTAATGGTTAATACACAGAATATACTGGGCCTTCAACAAACAAACACAATACACCATAACAGTTATACATGTGATACTGTGCCTACAAAAAAATAACACAAGACACCATAACGGTTTATATACACAGAATGTTATTGTACTGAGCCTACAACTGTAATAGAAAAGGAGAAAATGTACGGTTGGACTGGAAATCAAACTTGGGACCCCTGCATCACAAGTCAGGTGCTCTGCCAACTGAGCTCTCCAGGCCAAAATCCTCAGCCCATTATAAAGTACTTTAAGATCATCTATGGTTTTAAACCAGACATCAGTTCTTGAATACAAAGTAACAATTTTTTTTTAAATTTTGTATTTATTTGTTTGTATGTCAAATGAGGTGCTTTTAGCTTGCCCTTACCCTATATGTATCTTGTCATGTCCTTTTTAATTCTATGAAGGATACTGAATGGTTTACAGATTACCCAAAAGATCCATATAAAGATGAAATACTAGTTTTCCATCCATAAAATATTATTAGTTAGTATAGAAAAAGCCAAATTTTTAAGCTATAATATTTTATGCAATTTCCTTTATTTTCATACAGAACTCTTTTTTTTCCAAAAGATTTAAATAGTCTTAAAATGGTCATGACCACCCAGCCCTCTAAATTTCCATGGTAGTCATATCTAATGTGACAACAAGTGTACATTCCCTTTCTGTGAGGTAATGATGTAAATGCTTACAACTTTTTCTTCCTCATAATCAGCATTGGCAACAAAAGTAACAAGTCTAGTTGGATCTGATTTCTTTACATGCTGTAAAATTGTCCTGCCAAAAAAAGTAAAACATACAGATGTTCAATAAAACTACCTCAGGATTTTTTTTATTATTATTTTACAACTTTATAAACATGCTTTAAGAAACAGACAACAAGATAACTTGGTATACATGCTAAAAAAACAGAAAACGAGATAATGAAGCTTGCTGAAACTGATCAGACTTACTTGAAATAGAACTCTGCCTCTGGAAGCCCAGACTTTGGTTCATTGGCTACAGACCAGATGATCACAGCTGGGCGGTTCTTGTCTCTCTGAATCATTTCATCCATTACATTTAGGTGGTGTGCCAAAGACTCATTACCAAAGTTACCTTTCCTTTGAATATCACCATAGAAAAGTACAAAATAAAAAAATGAAAATACTCTTGACCATATTTATTAGATTTCACACGGGAGGATGAATACACAGGAATAGATTTAGAAACTTGACATACTCTATCCCTACACCTGGACTTTCATCAATAACCACGATGCCCTGTTGGTCAGCTTGGTCCATAATCTCCTCAGCATAGGGGTAGTGAGATGTCCTGAAACAGTTAGCACCCAGCCACTTCAGTAGATTAAAGTCCTTGGCAATCAATGGATAATCTAGTCCTTTGCCTCTGATCTAAATTAACAATTAGGATATAACAGTTTATGATTTTTTTTGTTTTCAAAATAAAAATGAGAGATATGTCCTTTTTCCTGAACAATGTTAGAATGATATGTCAAAATCATAATTGTAGAGGAAATTTCACAAGAGACTTGAGTTGAGATGATTAGATGTTGCTAAAGGGCAATAACTCTTACATCAGCATCCTCATGTTTAGCAACTCCATGGCAGTAGAATGGTTTATTGTTGATCAGAAGCTGTGTGTTGGTGTTAGACACAGTGCGGATACCAAATGGGAGACTGTACTGATCTGTATCTGCAGATGTTGAGGTCAAGGTCACCTACAGAAGAAATCAAGTGATGACAAGCATAAAAAAAACATCCTGTTGTGGCTTTTACTATTCATAACTCAAACCTGCACTGCACTGCAAAAGTAAAAATGGTATATACTTAACAGTTATAAAGTAATTAATAGGATAGGATTCTGAACTCAAGAATGAAGACAAAAAATTGTTTTAACCTGAAATGTATATAGATAGGCAGTGGCATTTGATGAGTTCACCATGGAGTAGGGCCACCATAGGTTGGCATTGTGTACAACTATCTTCCCCTGTGGCTGACTGCTCTTCCCAACAGAGTTACCCTGCTTGTCTAGGATGGTTATTTGGATTGATTGAACCATGGAAGCCATGTTTGGTGTCACTGTATAACTAACCACACCTAAAAGTTAACATACATGCACATATATACATATAAAGTAAAACTTGTCTAATCTAGAAGTTGGGTATTCCTAATCTAAAACTGTTTAGTCCCTATCAGTAAAACAGTGAAATAAATTTCTTTAGCTACTTCACACCTACTGTACATTTTGGCAAAAGTTGCTTCAAGTTTAATAGAAAGAATACCATGTTAAACTGAAATGTTAAGATAAACCTGTAATCACACACATTTCGTACTCTACCATTACTTCCTTGTATATCAGTTACTATGGTGATGTCCTCGATATAAACTTTCGGTGTGGTATACACTTTTACAGATCTATGAATCCCAGCATAGTTGAAAAAATCCATCTGTAGATTTTGGACAAAATATCCTTTAGGCCAAAGTTTTTATTTTTTTTGGTTTACGATTTTCTGTCTCAAAAAAATGCATTGGGTGGTCGAAAAATAAAAATAAAAATAATTTAGGATTCAACAGTTTCATTTTAAAATACCAGCAATGTTTATTTTAATAAAAATAATACACGTCAATAGTACTTTTAAGTTTTATTGTCTAGATCACATAACTCTTTTTATTTAATTTTGATTCATTTCTAACTTTAGACTGAATGTCATTTTCATTTACATATACATGTAGTTCTGATTTTTGTTTGTCAATCAGTGCATGGTTCATGATGTTCAACTTCTTTTTGTGCTCTTCAGTGATAAGTGATGTGTTATAAACCTCGGTATGCCCACAAACTAAAAATAAGGATCCAAATTTAAATTAAATTTAGATTGAAGAAAAATACAATTTAACTGTTTAACAATATCAAAAGTAATTGACATTGAAATAAAGGTTATAATAATTTGATCATGCAGCTATCAAATTTAATGTTCAACCTGTGGCACAAAAGCCTAATAATTTCTCAATCAAGTCCTTCTTTAAATTTTTGTTATGTACCTGCACAGTAGGCAATGCTCATTATTTTCTTAGTAATTCAAAGGGCTTTGATCTCAATTGAGTATGAAATTTGCAAAGATTTGTATATTGAATTTACTTCTATAAATTAACAAATGTTTTATACACATTTGAACTTATCCAGTGAAATATGGGTCAGCGTTACTTCAACTAAGATGCATCTCTCAACACTAAATTGGTCTAACTATTATCCATGGATTTATCAGCCTATTTTGGGAAACACCATTTTTGGGGAATTGGGAATAAATTATCGGCTATTTGATGAAATTGGAAAAAATTTTAAAATGTTACTTAAATCCTGTATTCAGGGGTAATTCATTTAACATTTCAGCATGAACTCTAATTTGGGCAACCAAACGACAATTAAATATGATCCATCTTCATCATACAAGATCAATTATGAATAATAGACTAATGAAAGTAAATTGGACTTCAATGAGTGTAAAGCAGTTATACAACGTAGGGTTGTACATGTGTGTATGAGATTTCAATTTAGATCATATAGTATAGATCTGTTTCTGGAGATTATAAACCTCCTGCATAAATACTAAGTACATATTTTCTAAAAGTCCTCTTTTAATATGTATTAATGCATTGAAAATATATATTTCTATTTGAAATAATGCCCAAAGTCCTTACCATTCACTCAAAGATCAATTGAATAGGTGGAAATAACTTAATAAATCTATATAATTATACAATATCATCATTTTTAGAAAAACGGAGGAAGTTCGGATTAAAAGTTGGCGATGTTTTTACAGTGTTTTTAAACATGTGTTATGACTGTAGCTTTGCTAAATGAGTTAAATAGATGAAAATTACAGACAGTCTGACAATTTTACTTTGTGTTTTTTCAAGATAATTAAAAATAAAAGCATTGTTCACCAATTGGCAAAAAATACTGCCAAATTGGGAAAAACTGAACTCATTTTCAATTGGGCAATTGTACATGAGAAGGCACTGATAAATCCCTATTATCTATAGGTGTAACCGTGTCTGCTAGGTCGATCAGGGTTGGGCATACACTCTCCAATATTACGGTATGAATTTAGCCAATTGAGACATTGCAATTGGAGAAAGAGATCATGCATCCAAGATTTTATTCACTTTTCCATGCAGAAAAGTTCTTTAAGTGTATGTCATTGCTTTCAGCGAAGAATTACCTTGTTACACAGCTGTTACATGACAGAACCGCCATTTTTGGTCTGCACATGTGTTTATTTACGGTCACCTAAATGTTTGTAAAGGTCTCATATATTTATAAGCGCTTATTCGACTAAGATGCATTCTAAAATTTAAAACCCACCAGTTCAGCTGAGAAAAATCCGGAAAAATATGTCGGAAAAAGACATTATTTTTATTTTCATGATTGGTGAAAATTAGGGTCGGCGGAATCGTAAACCAAACGAAAAAAAAACTTTGGCCTTAGGATACCTTTAAGTTAATTGAATTGAGTCATCAGTACAAATCATCTTCTGTAACAATATACAACAACTGAGTCCGTTAGTAGGATTTAGTTAATGATTTCAAGGTTAAAATGAAGTATTTCTGCACATCTTTTATGTGCAATTTTACAGAAATGACAAATCTGTCCACAATATAAAATTGTAAAAATGTGCAAATAATTTTCATTCTCCCTTCATCTGACCATTTTGTGAAAAAAGTGAAACATTATTGAATTGAAGGAAGATAATTTTTATTTCTCTTTTGATTCTAGATGAACTATTTAAGTGACTAAAATACAGTCACTGTGTGTTCACTTCTGGCACAGTAATAAATAGCCTACTAAGTTGGACTAGAAGAGTATTTTTTATTTGGAATATGTTTTCCTATCCTCAGCCATATTAACAGTCATTTTACAGTGACCTTCACACTGGTGACCTTCAAAAGTCTAAAGTAAAGGTAAATCTTAATTTTTCTATTCATTTTAAGGAAGTGTTGCAAATGGCTTGAACATCAAAATACTGTGTAACACCTCAGGGGAGTGACCTAGTTTATCCAAACATTTCCTGCTGCAATGCAGAGTGCATAAACTCCAATGTCAATTTATTTATTTTCAGGTATTAGTAGAAATTCTCTTTAATGCAACTAATTTAATATAAACATTTACTTACTTCAATACTATAGCAAATTCTTACTTGAGTGGATCATTTTTGTACTCAATGGTCCCTGGGGGTAGGGTTGTGGGGGTCAGAGTGTTATTCATAGCTACAGTCACTCTATTAGGGCCATTTGTATTATATTTTTTTAATTCTGTTTCAAATGGCAGGTGGCCTCCAGAATGCTGCATCACCTCCAGCCCATTCACCCACTGCAGTGAAAACAGAAATTTGATCAATGTGAATTGTACATGGATTATTAAGATAGCACAATAATATGATTTTAAACTGCCAACATGCATGTTAATTTCATAAATAATGATATATAAACTCCAGTACTACTCAGTTTAAGAATTTTAAATATCCATCATTTAATACCATATTAAAGTTTATTGTTATACCTTTAAAAATTAGCTCCTATATAAATCTATCTAAAAAAATTATAACATTTCTAATGTTTTACTGAGCAGTCATAAAAAGATCAATGTTTGACCACAGAATGAGATATTGGACCTGTGGAAGAGATATTGGACTTCTTATGTCACACTGTGGGTGGGATCAGCAAAATCTTATTTGCATTTGTTAGTATTGAAGCCATCAAAAGATACATGGATAACGAAAAAAATAAGTAAATAAATAAATAAAAGGTATAACAAAACATTTATTGACTTTGTTCTTGGGCAAAATGCATTTTGTCGACCCCTCGAACCAAACTGTCTGCCTTTAGCCTAACGGCCTCAGGCAAACAGTTTGGTTCTTGGGTCCAACAAAATGCATGTTGCCCTCGAACACAGTTAATAAATGTATAAAGTTGATTGAATTTTCACATTTGAAGGTTATTTATTACCTTCTTATAAACTTACTACAATGGTGTTGTAATGTGCACTGTCAATTCGCAATACAATCCTCTTTGAGGTGAATTCTGGTGGGACGTAGAATTCGTTGTCATACCAAGCCCACCCCACAAAATCCCGTAGTTCCTTACTCTGGGTAATGTCATTGTAGCTGGCTGGGACTGGCATAGGTATAACAGGCCCACTCTGTAATAAATATATCCAACTTACTTTGTGAATTGATTTAGTTATATTGGTACATAGCTTACATTGGAAATTTTTTTTTATAAAACAAATGATGACGCCCGTCCCTTGTTGAAACCAGTCAACAAAATAAACTTACTGCTGCATTCTCACGAAGTGTTGGTGATCTGTTTTATATCTTTAAGTTTATCTTCATATTTTTTACAAGTTAAAACTATTTACTAAAATAGATTGAGTTGACTATAAATCATACAGATGCACTGATGCAAAAGTATCTAAAATATTCATTCAGTAAGTTTGAGAAGGTCTGGGATACCTTGGCTTGCTGGTGTATAAGATTGATCACTGTTATCTTGATCTTTTACATTTGAAGCATCAAGTAAAACAATATTCCATAATATGTAGATTTTCATTGTCCCATATTAAAAAAATCATTTTTGTCAATCATGTCTTAAACACATCATCTGGCATGTATATGTAGCATAAAATAATTCTCTCTTTAAAGAATTGGTTTGTTTATTACTTTGCTTTTGAAATAAATTCAGTTACAAAATGGCATGATTAAAAGAATAAGGTTTACTTAGGGCCTTCTTTTGGCCCTGTGAATTTCTGAAAAATCAAAACTGCTCAGTTTTAGTTGACCCTTTGGACCCATGGTGACTGCATATCTATCAAAAATGACACAATTTTTTGCTAGCCCATGTATTATGATGTCATGAATTGCGTCATTATTCTCAAATCCTGATAATTTCTTCAAAAATCGCAAAAAAATTAAGCTGTTTTTCAGTATTTTGCATTGACCCCAACCTCTGATCCAAAATGGCTGATTTAATATTATGAAAAATTACAATCCATATATTTTATTTTTTAGATTGAGGGGTTGGCTCATATTTAAATTCTTTGCTGAAGGTACTCAAATATATCCATTTTCTTCAAAATTCAAGAACAATGAAATTTCACAAAGCATGTTTTTCAATACTGTACCTGGACTCTCAAAAGGAAACTTTTTTTATAGGAAATGATTGATTGATTGTATGTTGTTTTATATCCAATTTGAGAATTTTTCACTCACACATAGACGTCACCATATACCGGTGAAGGGCTTCAATTTTAGACCTATACTCGGCACTCAGAGTCATTGAGCAGTGATGGTTCTTTATCGTGCCTACGCCTACCATGACATGAGACTTTGTTTTTTTTAAGGATCTCATCCAAAAGACCCACAACTTTTACTTCACGAGCGCTTGGCGAAGGAAACAGTCACTACCTATGTTCATGTCTTAGGTTTGATGTGTTGTGGCGAATGAGAATCAAACCCAGGCCTCCCGATCACAAAGTGAAAGCCCTATCACTAGGCTACTGCGACGGTCTTTTATAGGAAATAAAAGCACTAAGTCTCTACTTTATATTGATGTTTGAAATGGGACACTAGGACTTGGTCAGTTAACTGGTATATGGGCAGGGCCACTTTATGGATAACAAACCCAGCTCTTTTTGTGCATGTTTGAAGTTTGCCTAACACAGTATGTTTGAATATGTATCAAGAAGGGAGAAGACAATGAGAATTATAACCCCACCCCCACCCCCCAAAAATAAACAAGTGTACATGCTACCGAGTTTTCTGCATACATGAAATCATATCTTAAAAATAAATTTATAAAAAGAGAAACTATCGAGTGAGCTACATGTATGAACCTGTTGGAGCGGTCTTGAGTACCATTTTTCTGCGAATCCCTGGAACTTATTCTCCGATGAATCAATTCTGAAATTCCACATACCGTCTAAATTTTGGAAAACTGTCCGTGATATCGAATTTCGCGGATATAACATACCTGACATTGCACATAATATTTGTAAATAAACAACATGAGCAAGGAACGTTTGTTTCATGGGGGCGGCCATTTTCACAGGATAATACATCACATGATATGCCCACGTGACATACAAGGAATAGAATGAAGAAAGCCGTTTATGTCTTATTTGTTTCAACTCAAAGGAACATTAATAATTTTTATTTTATGATTAAGGTAATACTATTTCCACCCTCACAAATTTGTGGATTCAAAATTAAAAAAAACTGCATTTATTTTCAATGAATATTATAATTATAGTCTAAATTAATTAATAAACCTAAGAAATGTATTTTAGTCCCTTACCGGTGAAACCGGAGGGGACTATAGGTTTCCTCTGAGTCTGTCCGTCCGTCTGTCCGTCTGTCTGTCTGTCCGTCTGTCTGTCTGTCTGTCAGTCTGTCCCACTTGGTTTTCCGCACTTTTTTTCTAAACGTTTACAGATATTGAGCTGATTTTTGGTATGTGAGTGTATATTGATAAGTTACAGATCAAGTTTGAATTTCGTTCCGCTTCATTGATTTTTGAGGGAATTACGGCCCTTTTAATTTTCAAGGGTTTTCCGCACTTTTTGTCCAAACGCTTGCAGATATTGAGCTGATTTTTGGTATGTAAGTGTATCCTGATGAGTTACAAATTAAGTTTATACTACGTTCCGCTTCAATGATTTTTTTGACGGAATTTCAACATTTTAAATTTTTGATGGGAACCAGATTACACTTACCGGTAGGGGACTAGTATTGCTAATGCTTGTTGTTTTATGCTCTTTGTATTTGTTTGTTTGTTTGTTTGTTTGTTTTTTTTTGGGGGGGGGGTGTTTTTTTTTTTAAAGATCGAACACTATTCGTTATCTTCAGCCTTTCAACAAAAAATACTTTCAATTGACTTCACCTTGACCTCCTCTGACGTCATTTCCAGAAAATTGAATATTTTTTAAAGTTTTTGATATGCATGTATTCATTTTAAGAGATTTAAAAATACACTGAAAAAATGCTGGTTGAGAAACACAGTGTAATTATCATCTTTATGTATCTCCCTCTGATTACCGTGTAATTATCATCTACATGAATCTCCCGAGGATTACATGATTTAGTTCTAGTAAGACTTCTCACTCTCACTTTGAAAAGAAAAAAACTGTATTATGAATATCAAAGGAAACTACGAAGTTGTAGGATGTTGTACAAAATGTATTTATCGTTCAGTGACAATGTAAGTGGTTATAAAAAGATAATTTAACAAACACTTGCTGATAAATAAGAAGCAAGTCACCAGCAACTGTATATAATAAATAAAATGTAACTATGGATGATGGCAATTACACACATGGTTGTCACATGTGGGAATTTGATGATGTAGACAAGTGCAGTCATCTGCATGTGTACACTCGACGGCGCGACGTGGGTGATGGCAATAACATTGATGATGGTCGCATGTTGCAATTTGACCATGACCACATGTACAGTCATTTGCATGGACACATTCGTTCACTTGACGACGTGGGTGGTGGCAGTGACATCGGTGATTGTCACATGTAGCAATCTGGCCATTACCGCATGTACAGTCAGATGCATGGACACATTCGTTCACTTGACGACGTGGGTGGTGGCAGTGGCACTGGTGATTGTCACACGTGGCAATCTGGCCATTACCGCATGTACAGTCAGATGCATGGACGCATTCGTTCACTGCACGACGTGGATGATGGCAGTGGCATTGGTGATTGTCACACGTGGCAATTTGGTTACCACCACATGTACAGTCAGATGCATGAACACATTCGTTCACTGCACGACGTGGGTGATGGCAGTGGCATTGGTGATTGTCACACGTGGCAATTTGGTTACCACCACATGTACAGTCAGATGCATGAACACATTCGTTCACTGCACGCCGTGGGTGATGGCAGTGGCATTGGTGATTGTCACACGTAGCAATTTGGTTACCACCACATGTACAGTCAGATGCATGGACACATTCGTTCATGTTGTGACAGTGGCATGTGTTTTGATCGCAGTGTCCAACCATATTGGTACCACATACTTTATTACAGTCAGCGTCAGTGGAACACGCTGTATTTTGTTGGCTGACCACTAGTGACACTGAAGAAAATAGAACACAATTTAAAAAAAGGATTATCAATCGTTATATCTTAAAAAAAATATTTTTTAAAACTTGGATTAGATTGACAGATTGACGCTTATTTCTTTTTATCGAAAGAATCTTCGATTTTTGCCTTTGAAAAGTGAACACATTTCATAATTGTATTTTTGTTAATATGTTCAGAGGGCCCCGAGGAAGACTAGTGCATTGCACTAATCGGGTTACCGTCTTTAAATAAAGTATTATTATTATTATTATATTATTACTATTAGGCTAGCTTTACCTGAGAAAACATTACCCAAAGAAGATAACCCTGTCGTAAGCAGAACATGTAACGTTAGAACCATGTAATTTTGATGTTTTGAAAAATAATTTTCCATAGTAATCTAGAAAATAATGTGTATTTTTATGTACAGAACTTTTGGTAAACACTAATTTCAAACTGTATACATCGCAAAATGAGGAAAATATCTCTTCAGTGCCAGACTTACCTAAAGCCAAAGAAACTAAAGACGAGAAAGCTGCTCGCATTGTGCTTAATATTTCTGATGCCCACTAGTAAATATTAATCTGCTGACTGTTCTCTGTCTTTTTTATATAGGTAGTTAGGGATATAATTATCCTTGATCATGAAAGCCCGAGGACAGATGATAAGGACTAGGAGAATCATGATTTCTATTTACAATGAAGGTAATATCATCGTCCTTGCAAGATAGTCGCAAGACTATACGATATTTGGTCTGGATTATCGGTACTTGTGTCAGAGTACAGTATATCAACATCATGCTATAAAATTTTGTTTTGATATTTTAATTATTTTCAGATGACATGCTTTATGTTCTAAAATAATGTAATTTTTTAATCAGTTCAAATCAGTTTTGTATCTTTTTATGCCAAGTATTCCAAATATTTAAAGTAAGCCCAATCATCTTCATGCACATTTTCTTCTATGACGAAGACAAAGCAAGAGCACAATGTGAGTTTGAAATTCTTTCAAAAGCTAAACCATACGTATGCAGTATTTTATCTGTTTCACCAAATTTTAAATACATGTAAGATTTAATTTAAACAACAAGCTATTAATATTGAAATCATTTTTTTTTACCTGTAAATTGTTGATAGAAAAGATATATAATTGTGCATAATTAATATCAACAAAAACCTTCGCTTTTCTTTTTATTATCATGACTTATAAAGAATTTCACACGGAAATATAATTAAACAAGATGTGTTTGTGAAACACTATACCCCGATGGTAACACAATTCTGGAGTGGGGCGTAGACTACAGTGCAATAGTTATGGCCAATGTTAAAGTTTTTCAAATGTTGGCCAAAGGTCACAGTTGAGGTCACATCATCAAAAATTTCTGTACCAATGGAAAGGTCTTGTCATAATGAACACTCATGTCAAATATTAAAGCCTTACCCTTGACAGCGCAATAGTTATGGGCTTGGTTAAAGTTGACAACAGACAGACAGGACAAAAACAGTATACCCCCGGGATCTTTCGATCCAGGGGCATAAAAATTATTTTATCTACTACGAATTTCGGGACGCGTTCGATTGACACATCCTTGCACTTTCACAAAGTATCTTTATCTTTAATACTTAAGAAAAGTAGAGATTTTGTTGTGTATTAATGAAAAATATTAAAACTATAATCCAGAAAATTCAGAGACTCTGAGTAGAAAGCAAAACTAACTCACCAGTATTGTCAGTCCGTGCTCAGTGATGTGTGCAGAGTTTAAAAAATTGAACACACTCGGTGAAAGGTAAACATTAACAACAGAGCACGTGCCCTGTTTACCAAAACAGGTTACGTTTTTTCTTTTGTAAATTATTATCATTTTTTTATTTTATATATTTTTTTTAACTTTTGGACAGCGTTGATAAGAGTAACGAAAAACAAGTTAAAACAAGATGTGTTTGTGAAACACTGATGCCCCTGTATGGCAGCTTAAGGCGAAGGTTAAAGTTTCTCAAATGCAAGTCAAACTCAAAGGTCATTGTCAAGAGATCAAAATGTTGCCACCCAAAGATTGGACTTTTGTCAATGGATATACTGGTAAATATGAAAGCCAAAGCACCAACCATTCATTCGAAAGTTATGGTCAAGGTTAATGTTTTCTAAAAGTGGGTCAAACTCCAAGGTCAAGATCAAAGGGTTAAAATTAATGGTACGCAGGGGAAGACCTTGTCATACTAGTCATAAGAAATACACATGCAAAATATAAAAGCCCTAGCACCAACTGTTCAAAAGTTATGGCAAAGGTTAAAGTTTTTCAAAAGTAAATCAAACTTCAAGGTAAAAAGGTCAGAATTGTTGGTATCCAAAGGAAGGTCTTGTCACAAGGTATATACCTGTGAAATTTGAAAGTCCTAGTGCTAATTTTCAAAAGTCGTGGCTAAGGTTAAAGTTTTTTAAAAGTGGGTCAAATTCTAAGGTCAAGATCATAAGGTCAAAAATATTGACAGCCATGGAAAGGTCTTGTCACGATAAATACACACGTGAAATATGAAAGTCCTGGCACCAACTGCTCGGAAGTTATGGCCAAGGTTAAAGTTGGGTAAATTTTTGCAAAAGTGGACCAAACTCCAAGGTTAAGATCAAGAGGTCAAATATGTTGGTACCCAAAGTAAGGTCTTGTCACAAGAAATACACATGTGAAGAGCGCCAACCTATCAAAAGTTATGGGCAATGTTAACGTTTTTGCGGACAAACAGACAGACGGGCGGACAGGGCAAAAATTATGTACCCCCTAATCTTCCATTACCGGGGGGGGGGGGGGCATAAAAATAAGTATTTATCAAGTTGGTTCTTATACAAAAGAATGTATAAAGAATGTATGAATATTGAAATGTTTTTTATAAATATACAAAAGGCTAGGATTTAGAAACAAGGTTAATAAAATTTCAAGTTCCCTTATTTGATACTTTTCAACTATTTGACATGAAAAATATCTGGTTGAAGGAGATTGAAAAAAGAAACTTATTAAAGCCTAAGGGGGTGTGACTTCCACTAAACCTGACGGCATTTGCCAAGGTTTCTTACATCGGCTGTTTTCTTAACACTGTGCAAATTATCAACCTTCTTTAACAAGAAATGAAAAATGGTGCGTCGTCAAGACGGCCTAGGACGCTCACATAAAAGCACACCAGAGCAAAGGAATGTAACTAAACAGAGGAGAGATTCATTAAGGATGTGAGAACATTGTTTTCCTATTTGAAATCTTTTAGAAGCACTTCTAAAACGATGAACCGTTCGGAATATGGCGCTATATTTTCCAGATGAGTTTGGATCACCCTTTAATCAGATATCATACGCAAGAGGTTGTCTTGTCTTGCATGTCCATACATAGGACAGTCTTAGAAGAAATGTTCATTTTAGTCATTTGCTTCAGATTCACCACAAGCATTATTAGCATAGCTGTAGGAACGGGGGGGGGGGGGGTAATTTTGCCGATATACAGAATACTATAGAAAATATAGCTGCTATTTGCTTATGCCCCCTCAATAATAATGTCTGATGACCTTTTTTTGCTTGTCAAGAAATTTTGGTAGTGGATAGTGCCCTCCCAACTGAAAATGTGTAGTTGTGCCCCCTTGAAGTGAAATTGCTTCCTATGGGCCTGATTAGCGTTGTAATTCTACAGATATAAAGATGAAATACATTCAAGTAAGACTTTGCTCTTTGCAGGAACCGAAATAAAAATATTTATTAAATGATCAAGAATTTTGATGCTCTCTGAGTGGTCCAGACTCTCTTTCATGAGGTGTGAGTTCACCAGTAAATGAATTTATTTCCGGGAGGTTCATTCGGGTTTCACTCCTGACCAACCATAGCCTTACTTCATTTCAGCCCACATCAACGAAGTTTATGGGGTTATGTAATACCCTCGGAGTCGGTCCCAGGTTAGTTTTTGGAGCATATTTCTTTTCAAGTACTTCTATGCCCTATGTCAATCAGAGAGATCTAGGCTTTTTAACATCATAGAAAGCTGCTTTTTCAATAAAAATGGAATTCGTAAATTTACTTACATTGTCATTGGACCTTTGCAAAATTATTTTGTTGAAAACATTCCGATTGTACACACTAGTACTCCGATGTTGATGCTTGAGTTTCTGATTGATAATATGTATGTAGTTTTTGGAGATCAAGTCTTCCAACAAACCTTCGGAATTTCAAATGGGTACCAATTGCGCCCCGTTATTAGCAGACCTATTTTTGTATTCATATGAAGCAGAATTTATTCAAAAACTTCTTCATGAGAAGTCTCTTGCTGTGACCTTCAATTAAACATTTAGATGTATCGACGACGTTTTATCAAACAATATTAATTTTTTGAAAGGTATAGCCTTAAAAAAAGGAAAGTCGTGTGCTTTTGCACAATCCCTTGTAATTTTGAGACTATATCTTGCCTAATTCGTGTTTAATAAAAAAATGAAACAATTTCCAGGGTAAAGTTTTTCAAAAATGATAACAAAAAGCAAGTTACTTTGTCATATATATATATATTCTTTTTAATATATAAATTTCTCAATTAAGGAATAGATGTTGTGAGCATTAGTAACATTCTTAAACAAAAAAGTTCACTCTTGCATTAGACTATATTTCAAGTTGAATTTAACATCCTGCATTTCCTACAGATATTCCAAAACTGTTACTTCCAAGCTTTTGAATTATGAACAAATAAATGTTTTTGATGAATTTCATTGCTTGATTTTACAAAGGGATTACTTTTGTCCTTGATCAAACATGAGAACAAACAGCTTTGGTGAAATGTAAAGAGACGAACAAAAATCAAGCTCAAAAGTCTATTGAAACAATACAAAGGATGAGCAGGGCCAACAAGGATCTCTGAAAACATAGTTGGGATCAGATGCCATTGAGGAGTAAGCATCCCCTGTCAATCAGTCACACCCGCCGTATACTCCTTGTCATGATAAGGTAAAGGGAAATTTCGTCGACAATTCTGTGTGAAAATAATGGCCTAACAATTTGTATGAAAGACCGTCAGCAAACATTCGGGTCAACGGCAGATTGTATTTACAAACAAAGTCATTGTATCGACCATAAAATTTGCAAATTGTCGACTTCAAACGAGATTGTTGATATTCTTGTATCATAAACTTATTTTTGAATAGCCTGCCTCCTTTTAGAAATTGGTCCTATGTATAACATGGTATTGCATATCGAATCAACTCTTTGTGATCGGGGTTCAATTCTTGTTTTCCGCGCCGCATCAAACCTAAGACATTAACATAAGTATTGACTGTTTCCCCACCAAGCACCCAAGATAAGAAGTGAAAGTCATGACTCTTTCGGTAGGGACTTTAAAAACCGAGGTCTCATGTCACGAAAGAGTACGATAGAGAACCCTCACTGCTCAATAACCCTGAGTGACATGCATAGGTCTAAATTTAAAGGCCTTCACGGTACTAGTTTATTGTGACTTCTCTATATGAAAAAGAAAAATTCTCAAATGGGACGTTAAACAACATACAATCATTCAATTGAATCAACTGGAAGACATAACCTTCATATACAGGTGATAATGGTATATTGCTACATGAAATATGGGGATAACGAACGGTATTCAAGCTCAAAGTTCATTAATACAAAACAAACCGGGATCTGAGCAAACACGGACCTCCAAAAACTTCAGAGGTGGGGTTAGGTGCCATGGAGAAGTGAGCATCCCCTGCCGACCGGTCTCACACACATTGTGCTCCTTGCCATGATCGGAAAATAACGGAAAAATCTGTCGACAATTCAGTGTGTAAATAATGGCCTAACAATAAGTATGGAAAACGTCAGTCAGCATGTGACTTAACCATAGATTGTATTTGCTGACAAGGTCATTGTATCATTGTATCATGACCATAAAACTTACGAAATGATGATTTTAAACGAGACTGTTGATATTCTTGTTTTATCAACTTGTTTGTCAATAACTTACATGTACCTCGATTTAGAAATTTTTCATACGTAGAGCATGCTCTTGCGTATCGAATCAACTGAGAGATATAAACCTCGTATGCAGGTGATTACTACATAAGTAAGGGAAGTTGACGATTGAAAATTGAAGTCATCACGTTTATCATAAAGCATTGTTCTTAGATTACCATTAACGTCTTTTTTTTCTAGTAAAATATCCAAATATGAAACAAACGTGTCAGACTCTGTTGTATCTTTTATTTCAAGCTCACTTGTTAGATTACGTATGACGTCTTTTTCTAGTAAAATATCCAAATATGAAACAAACGTGTCAGATTCTGTGGTATCTTTTATTTCAAGCTCACTTGTTAGATTACCTATGACGTCTTTTTCTAGTAAAATATCCAAATATGAAACAGACGTGTCAAACTCCGTGCTATCTTTTATTTCAAGCTCACTGGGATATACCGGTATCGTGTCGACATATGGATGGAAATAACTATTGTTAATTGATAATACGTTGTCTATATATCTAAATGTCGAGTTGAATGCCACAGCAAGAGATTTCTTTTTCTCATGTATAAGATTTTGAATAAATTCTGCTTCATATTAATTCAAAAATAGGGGAAGACAGAAAACTTGGTCTTCACTTTTATCATACAGTTGTCATTTTGCCCTTAATGTCTTACTGTAGTAAAACATCAACACGTGAAACAGACATGTCAGACTCTGTGGTTTCTTTCGAGTTCAGTTGGATATATCGAATTAACGTAGAAATAAACTGAATATTGTTTGATAAAACGTCGTCGATATAACTAAATGTGGAATAGAAGACCACAGCAAGGAACTTATTTTCATGTAAAAGTTTTTGAATAAAAATCTGCTTCATATGAATACAAAAACTAATAACGTTAATAACGGGGTACAATTAATACCATTGGAAATCCAATAGATGATCACCAAAAAACTATAGATATTGTCAATGGTAATATACAAAGGATTAACTAAATCAGCTGCAATGAATTTATATACAAAAAAGTAAAATCTCATCACCTTTCAAATCATTTGAATGTGATTTGAAGCAAAAACAAAACAGAAAATTTCGATAATTTAGGCCATCTTTAAAAAAATTGTTTGGTTGCCCTCTCCCGACCGACTGGCTAAAAATGGCCCGACTAAAAACTTTTTTTACCTCCAAAAAAGGAATTATGCATTCCGGAAAATGAATTTTGAAAATTCAGCATTAATGTTGAAATTTCTTTGAAAAAAAAAATTCTCACCTACCTACCGACTCAGTTTTATCATCCTGAGTCGGGAGAGGGCAAGCAAACATTTTTTAAAGTAGGCCTTATTAAGTTAGTTTATGATATTTGTGCTGAACATTGACTCTCTCTCTTTATATATATATATATATATATATATATATATATATATATATATATATATATATATATATATATATATATATATATATATATATAAGCACTAAAAACCAACAACACTGTATATCCTAAGTGTCGGATCTACTAAGTAGATACAAGGTCACGGATGGAAATTTATATAAAGCACTAAAAATGACCAACGACACGAACAATAATAATTGTCGATTATTATTGTTCGTGTCGTTGGTCATTTTTAGTGCTTTATATATATATATATATATATATATATATATATATATATATATATATATATATATATATATATATATATATATATATATATATATATATAATCCGATAAAAGTTTCAAGATTTTCTTTCTTTCTTTCTTTTTTTTTTTTTTTTTTTTTTTTTTTTTTTTTGAACGATGGTGTACAAAATAAATTTGGTTTATTTGATATTATCCTATAAGAATCTGCAATTTATGGCATTTCTGATGTCATTCCTGAAAGTAACATTGAAAAATGCATAAATAACAGGATTTGCAATGTTGTGGCTAAAATACAAATAATAAACAATTATGTTGGCGTCAATAACACGAATGGACATCAACCATGCTGGCAGGAAGGCGAGGATGAAAACAACAGTCACGACGAACAGAATTCCAGCAGTCTTTATGTTAGCCAATCGGAGTTTGTTTCTTACAGATCGCTTGCTTTCTGTGACGTAATTATTATTCATTATTCGTCGGCTGGTGTCATTTTCTACTGTTTCCATGGCTGTTAGTTTAGTTGTACATGTGTTTGTTATTGTGTGACTTGTCCGTCTGTCTGTTCCCTTGTTTGCGCGTTGACTTTTCCTGTATCTTCTTAATGTAATGGATTTGAAGATGAGAGCATATAGAACGGTAACAAACGCACATGATATCAAAAACAGTGATGCATAAAAGTTTTGATAATTCTTTATAAATTTTTCATCAAAATAGTCGTAAACCGGGATACAATATCCTTCATAAGCTAGTTTCATATCTGAAATATTATTCGAAACATTTCCTAGAAGATTAAGTTTATGAAGCTTTTCGTCGCCATGGGTGGTATTTTGAGATTCCATTACCATTCCATTATAAGAATACTGCTCATCACTACCAATTACAAAAGCAGTTACATTTTCTTTTGTCACAGTCGCCTCCGAAATTGGATAAACTCCGTGCGTAAGTGAAGGAATTACTCCTAGAGATAATGCAAAAATTAGAACTGCCACTATTATTTTCTTGGCCATCCTAATGTCTAAACACTGATTCCAAGGTCGGCAAATCTTGAAATATCGATCGAACGCGATCAGAACCATAATAAAAGCCGAAAATGGGATATTGGACGTAATAAGAAAAGTATATACCTTGCATTGTAAATCATTGTTTATTCTTTTCGCCATCACTTCGTAATAAATAGTAAGTGGAATAATTATCAAGCAGGTGAAAAAATCTGTGAGAGCTAATGCCAGAATAAAAATTGTTGTTGTTGATTTTTCTCTCTTTCTGGAAAAAATGTAAAAGACGAATCCATTTCCAACGGATCCGGCAAGACTGAAGGTGACGAGGTATCCAATGACAACCAGAATGTAAGGATAGTCGACGTGATTTTGAAGACTAACGTCACTAACTCCACCCATGATGTGATATTCCAATGATTTCAAATTTTAGATGAACTCATTAAAATTTTCTGTATTTTTTTCCAACTTCCTAAAATTAAAAAGAAAGGGAGTTATATGCCCGATTACAAAACTTTGTAGTGTAAAGATTATGGAAATCTAAATTGTTAAATACAAAATCAGAAAAAAAAAATCTCAGTTTTGAAATAAACATTCGATATTATGAAGAAGTGAGGTTACATCAGTCAGTGATACATATTTTTACTTACATTTTTAAAGAAAAGTCGAGCAATGTTTTCTCATTGTACTTATTCTCCAAAGAAATTGTCTAATCTGAGTATATTGCTACTTGTACGTGTGATTGTAATAATATACAAAGAAAATTATTTGAAAATTAAAACATAGATTTCTCATATTTCATATTGTCTTGCACTATAAAGGCGTATAATTATGGGATCATGACCAATGTATCTGCATTATAACAGATTTCCGTGTGAATTTTATGAGAATTATGTTTGGTTGGTCACATTGTAATTAAAAGGGATTTTCTGTGAACACCATTAGCTACAGAGAAGATGAATATGAATAAACAAATCATTGTTTAATTTTCAAATTAACTTTTCATAACTTGGTGAGTACATGAAGTTCAGCAGAAAGTTACAGCAATGTATAGATAGAATCTATTCTTATAACGAATTGCATTGTCCAGTTCAGATTTTTAACCTGGATCAAAATTTTGTAAATTTTCTACAGAAAGATAATTTCTAAATCTCACATGTGAATTCATCTTCTTGTAAAAAGTTACTTTAATGTTTCAGCAAGATTACTTTGGTTTGAATTCTGAAATATCTTTTAGATTTTCTGCGTCATTTCGATTCTCTGAATGTAATTATTTAAAGTAGTCATTGAAGCATGATTTGCTCAATTTCTTGAAATATACTTCTTTTTTTTATTTATGTATGAAACATGTATGCATAACATCACATTGTGTATTTTACCCTCCTAACCAACTACAATTTTATTTATTTATTTATTTGTTTATTTATTAATTCCTTGTTTTAAATTTTTTATGGAGTTCCACAAAGGACAGCGAGTTGCTCACTACTAACTACTTATAGACGATCTTTACGCATTGAATGATCATTAACAAATTGAGTATTGCGCGTTATTAAAAATTGCTTGAAATGAATTTATATCGTTTATACTGTAAATATCTTTAACAGTTATTATTGTAAGAAAAGGTTGCGAATGTACAAAATGTGTGAAGATCAAAACACTAAATTGAGTCTTGACTGTTATCGAATGCTAACAAAGTCTAGTCTGACGGAGAAGAAAATCTCCATGTTCACAAAGCTTAATTTGTGGGATTTTTTTTCTTTCTAGCTTCTTAGCTCCAAAATATACAGGGGAAAATGCCGAGGGCCTTCCATTCTCGTCGTTCTTCGGACATATTACTGATATTAGCCGGGTCATTTTGGTCCTTTATACTTCCGAGTGTCCTAATATTGCGGAATAATACGTGATGTCCACGATTCACTAATGAAAAAGTCAATCAAGATGCTTTGATTTGAGAGTTTCACGTAAATGATTGAGAGATCAAATCGAGATTGAGAAACAAATTTATTTCTGTTCAAGGATCGACTTCTTTGTCATTATAAAACTTCATTACACTTAAAGACCAGTTAAAGTTATTAAATATTTTAAATAAGATATCGTAAATGGACTTGTAAAGTTGACGACATCAGAAAATTTATTTTTTAGTTTGCCATTAATGTTTTGTTTTGTTTTGTTTTATTCTAACAAAACATCCAAATATATCAAACATATGTCTAGCTTTGTGTTGTCTTTTATTTCGAGTTCATATATATATATATATATATATATATATATATATATATATATATATATATATATATATATATATATATATATATATATATATATATTGAGTATAGTTCTAGGGACAACATTTACACTTGGGTGTTAAGTTTAGCATCAGAATCATCATATTGATAAACAAATTATAAACAAATTATTCCGTTGTCTTCCAGCATCGATCTGTCAGTGGTCTCAGTAGAAATGGTAATGCTATCTCCTTCTTTCCTTCTGAGAACGATCCTTATCTTAAATACATGTATTCATTGAAATACACTACACCACAACAGTAAATGAGTATAACTGCAACTTTAATACTATGGATTAAAGAAAAATTACAACTGAAAATATGACTACCTTTAAGACAAAATGTAAATAAAACTAAAAAAAAGTTCCTTCAAGGGTTCTTTGACCGAGGAGGAAATTACATTCACAGTTATAGAAAACATTGTCTTTAATCACCAACACATGTATAATGGTGTTTATCATAAAAACTCAAACATGACAGGTGAGAAATCATCTATATGCAGTGGATTGTTTTGAAATTTTGTTTTGCTGTAAAATAAAACGTATTCAATACACGCAGGCAAGTAATCTTTCAATAAAACATGTCTTCCGATCTTAATCTTAAACAGAACAGTGATAAGATGACAAAACGACAACAAACATTTCTTATGTCGCGATTTTACCTGTAAATCTTTATGAAATAGGAGTTTTTGATTTCATAATAAAACACCATCCATAACAAAAAAAAAATCTGGACAAGCATGGCGTGTCAATTAATTCTAGCTTGTTTCTTTTAGTTGTAAAAAAGATTCCCGATGGATCTAGTCCTTTTATTTACACACCCAACCAGACTGCTCCCTGGCTTCCATAATTACATGTAGCAAAAACCCAGGGAAGCAATTTCTTAATACTTGTCCGAGGATATCAGTATGAACAAAAAGACACTCAAACAGATTGTTTTCTCCTTTAAATACATTGAAAAAAAGGATCTGTTTGTGAAACACTGATGCCCCAGTGTGACAGGTTTTGACGAAGGTTGAAGTTTCTCAAATGCAAGTCAAACTCCAAGGTTAAAGGATGAAAAATGCTGTTACCCAAAGAAAGCGCTTTTCCTCAATGAATATACCTGTGAAATATGCAAGTCCAAGCACTAGCCATAAAATAGTTAAGGCCAAGGTTAAAGTTTTTATATGTGGATCGAAATCCAAGATCAAGGTCAAAATAAGGGTGCCAATGGGAAGGCATTGTCATAAGAAATAAACATGTGAAATATTAAAGCCCTATCACCAACTGTTCAAAAGTTATGGCCAAGATTAAAGTTTTTCAAAAGTGGGTCAAACTCAAAAGTCAAGGTCCAAAGGTCAAATATATTTATATCCATGAAAAGGTCTTATCACAATGAAAATACATGTGAAGTATGAAAGCCTTAGCACCAATTGTTCAAAAGTTATGGCCAAGGTTAAAGTTGGGTAAATTCTTGCAATATTGGGTCAAACTCCAAGGTCAAGAGATCAACTATTGTGGTACCCAAAGAAAGGCCTTGTCACAATGAATACACATATAAAATGAGAGCCATAGCTCCAACCAATCAAAACATTTATTAAAAAGTCAGGTCGTTTTGGTTGATGCAATAAATACTTTTTGCAAATTCTATACAGCTTGTGTATTGTATAATGTTTCTCTGCTTATTATCCCTTTCTGTGTTTTATTCATTTTAAGCTGAAACCCATATATGTAAATATGTTTGGTATAATTCATATGTAGGGAGAGGGCGTATTAAGTTTGAAGAACTTTTGCCCAATCCCAGTTGTAAAGTTTATAGACAATAAAATATGTTCAAACTAACCAATCAAAAGTTATGGGCAAGGTTAAAGTTTTTGCGGACAAACAGATAAAACTATATACCCTCAAATCTTTGATTACGGGGGCATAAAAATACACGTGCTATATACTACATATACTACATGCAGAAGATTAAGAAAATTACATGTCAACGACCCTTATATTATTTATCTAAGGTCTAATAAGAATTAATCTTTGCATCTATTGCGTCTGATTGTAATAATAATGAAAACTTCTGATCAATGACCTCTAGAACCCTGACCTTACGTACATCTGTAAGTAAAATTTATAACATTATAACCATACAGACAATCCTTCTAATCCTTTATTGGACCGCAATCGAGTCTGTTAGAGGTATTATCGTATATTTTTAATATATTGTATAAGTGAAATGTCTTGTGAGTCAGATAAAAAAAAATCATCCTGAAATTTAAGACTTTTTATCAATTTTCATATTGAACGAAAGAACAATGTATAATTTAAAAAGAGAGAGTAAAAGTAACAAACCAATCTTCAATAGATTTCATCACTTCGGTTTTAATGCATGCACTAAATGTGGCAAGATGACTTGGTTCAAAAAACATATTTGTACACCTCATCGCTATCTTTTCTGGTGCCTAGCGAAAAACCAGTCAATTAATTTTGACCTTCACGGGATTTGTTTTTGATTTGAATCTGGACTAAAGATTCTCGCTTGACAAGGTTTGACTGTACAACCATATCAATTCAAACAAGCTCCATATTTTTCCAAATAGAATAAACCAGAAAAATTACTCAACAAAAACTCCACTTAACAAATGATATCAAATAAACCCTCGAAAAGGTACTGGTTTTATTTTTGTAATCGTCTAGTCGTGTCAAAAGAAATAGGTAGTGGAACATGTCGAGATTTGCTTTTTTAAGTATTTGGGAAGATTTTTAACAATATCTAAACTAGTGAACCTGTCTTTGTCAACAATGATTGACATTAATACACTAATTAAAATCTGCACTTCATCTGCCTCCATCAATCTGATAGAACGCTGTAAGAACTTGATTACTACGTGTCCCTCATCTCCGAGAGTTATAAGATGCTTATTTCATCTTCTGGCCCAATCGAACGGAATAAATCAGAGTTAGTGCCCTACCTCTACTCCTTCAGGATTCCAGTCCGGCTTTATTAATGGGTCTTTCTACACGTTTTAAGAAAATTAATGGTAATTGAACATACTTAATAAGAATATGTCCTGTCGGGGAAAATATCTCTCAATTTAATTATGACCCATAGGCACATTTTACAGTCACTAAACGTGAGGTAAATTGCATGCCCATCTAAATATCTGTTATTTAAGAACGTGGTAGCTTTCCATTTATA